TAATCCTTTTATTTTATCCATTCATACCATTATTTCATTTTCATCTATATTCCTCTATTTCATCTTTTTTCTTCTTCTTTTTAGCCGGAGTGACGGCCGTTATTCGAGCTTAACTGTTCATCTATTCATTTTTGTCCATTTGTCCTTCTTAATCCTTTTATTTTATCCACTCATACCATTATTTCATTTTCATCTATATTCCTCTATTTCATCTTTTTTCTTCTTCTTTTTAGCCGGAGTGACCGCCTCTGCTCGAGCTTAACTGTTCATCTATTCATTTTTGTCCATTTGTCCTTCTTAATCCTTTTATTTTATCCACTCATACCATTATTTCATTTTCACCTATATTCCTCTGTTTCATCTTTTTTCTTCTTCTTTTTCGAGCTTAACTATTCATCTATTCATTTTTGTCCATTTGTCCTTCTTAATTATCCTTTTATTTTATCCATTCATACCATTATTTCATTTTCATCTATATTCCTCTATTTCATCTTTTTTCTTCTTCTTTTTAGCCGGAGTGACCGCCGTTATTCGAGCTTAACTATTCATCTATTCATTTTTGTCCATTTGTCCTTCTTAATCCTTTTATTTTATCCGCTCATACCATTATTTCATTTTCACCTATATTCCTCTATTTCATCTTTTTTCTTCTTCTTTTTAGCCGGAGTGACCGCCGTTATTCGAGCCTGTTCTCCAGCCAAGCTCGAAAACGGGTGCAAGAACACCACCACAGCAGGTATCAAAACCAACCTCTGTTCCTGTGACTCTGATTTGTGCAACACCGGCGTCGTTAGTCATGTTGCCATTCCCCTCATGGTGGTCGCCGTTCTCCTTGGTCGCCTCATGTAGACAATAAAAGAGAGAGAAAGGGAGGAAAGAGAGAAAAGGAGGAAAGAGAGAGAAAAGGAGAGAGAGAGAGAGAGGGGAAGAACTCCCCATGTAGGATTTGTCTGAGGGAGATTTTTGTTTTTCTTTTTTCCTATGATTGTTATTCTTTCTTTTGTTGTGTTTTCTTGATATTAAGTTGATGGGTCTTGATTTTATGGAATGCCAAAGAGAATATAAATCTACGGCAATCTATGTTTTTAAAAAATCTACAAAACTACAGATCAGTGAAAATCATTTACTTAACTAACTAGCTTTCCTGCACGTGACGTGTAAGTTCTCGAAAGCACTAGAGAAATGACCATTCTTCTATCTGTATTTACATCAACATCTTTTCTTTTCTTTTTTCCTTTTTCCTGACCCTCTCCCTCTTCAAATTATGGACATCCTGCGCCCCCCAGCCACTCACTGCATTTTTGCCATCATCATAATGAAATCTCCCTTTGTTTACATTCTTCCCCGTTTGGTACCCATTCAACGGCATAGAGACAAAACCGCTGCCACCAATTTTCAGCAGTCTATGTCCAGACGGGTACACGGTCAAGCCACTTGTGTCTTCTGCCTTGTTCTTCACATATTTTCGTGCATCTTGAATTCAATAAAGGATCACCAAGGATTTCATTAGCTAAATTATCAGACGATTATGGTTTATGATCTAACAACAGATTGTCCCGGTTTTGTACACAGCTGAAGAAAAATAAAATACAATACAAATCTGCGGTGAACATGAGAGTGAGGAAACAAAAAGATAAATAAATAAATGAATAAATCAGTAAATGAGATATGGAAATTTTAGGCTGGTATTATATATTACAATTTTCTCCTGGATATGCAAAATTCTCAAAAGAGGTCGACCACGGAGTTAAGAAAAGAAGAAGAAGAAATAGAAAAATAAAAACAAAATTTCCTCTAAGATACACAAATAAATTAAGCCATAAATAAATATAAATGGTTCCAGCTGTATCAAAATACCTCCTTGTTACATCATCATCATAGTCGGTGCTTTTGATGATGACATTTCTTCATAATTGCAAAGAATTTTGGTCGCACAAATAAAATAAATAAAACAATAGCTGACTTTAATTTATCCGAGGCTTTGTGTAAGATCCTCAAAATAGATGTAGATAAATAGATAGATAGATAAATAGATAGATAGATGGATAATGGATAGATAGATAAATGGATAGATATATAGATAAATAGATAGATGGATAAATGGATAGATGAGCCTGTATATATATGAGAGATGATAGAGGGATAAAGAGAGAGAGATAGGCCGACAGACAGACAGAGAGATAGATAAATAGACAGATGAGTAGATAGATGTAGATATGTTATTGACACGTTTTTTTCTTGTTATCATTATTTTCCAATATAAAGTCAGTGTTGTTATATGAAAGCATTTATTTCTTCTACTTCTTCTTCTTTTAATCTGACCTGATAATAAAAGCTCTTCATTTATAATATCTTTTATAACAATTAAAAAACATGAGTGAGGAAGAGGAGGAGGAGGAGGAGGAGGATAAAGAGGAGGAGGAGAAGCAGGAGGAGGAGGAGAAAGAGGAGGAGGAGGTGGAGGAGGGGGAGGAGGAGGAAGAAAAGGAGGGGGAGGAAG